TCCTCAAACGAACTGGAAGTGGTATGGCGTCGGATGGGTGGGTTTTTCGTGTCGTCCGGCAGGGGTTGCGTTGTGATCACAACGGGGGATTTTTTCGAATAGCAGGCCTAGGGATAAAATGAAAGTCTTGCTGGAAAGTAGAAAGCTTCGAAATTCCGGCACTGTTTTCCTTTTTACGAATGGCCCTGTATGAAGCTTGTTATGGCTGTTCAAAGCGTAAGGACTTGTAAATGACCCCCGATGATCACGACCGGATCACAAAGGAGCAGTTGAGTGTCTAGCTCTTCTTGTTTCTCTTCTTTTGGGTATACTGATGGCTGATGTGAATTCAAATATTCCACTACAAGTAATCCGCTGCACCATTGTTTTAGTGGCATGCATCAGCTCCTACTTTGCATAATTCCAGGTTTTTCGGTTTTTTTTTTGCTCCTACTTTGAATATTTTCCTTGCTAACGCTAACAATGGTTGACTAGTGTTTCACTTCTATGAGAAGGTATTGTTGTATTCATTTCTCAGTTTTTTTGCAGATGAATGTCAATCGAGCGAATATGCAAACAGGAGTGCTTACATGTGCCGAGTCTCTTCAACGCGCTCCATCTCCGATTCTTTTTCCTGAAAACGTGCCCGGGGCGGCAAAACATAACACGGAACACGATGTAAGTAGTTATTCAAAAGTTGTGGGGGGGGGGGTGTAATCACTGGGCAGCTCCTCTGTGTCCCTTCCCCTAATCAATGCTTAGGCTCAGTGGAGAATATGTCTCCTCCGCAAGACTATTCTTTGGTGGCTCTGGTCATCTATGCTTCAAAATTAGGCCCTGCTCAGGGAAGGTATATAGAGGCGCTACCAATTGATCCCCCTTCCGCCAATAATTTTGGGCCTTTTTAATGCAGTGTGTTATTTGTACTAGCTGGTGTTCAATATATTCACTTCCGAATTTGCTATCTAGTTTGTTGTAGTCTTTTTAGACTGTAAGTGATCAGCATGTTGGGAGATTTGAAAAAGATCTATACTTTCCATGGTCAGTGCAATACTCGAAAGATTACGTCCAGTCACTACTGGCTCAAAGTGTTGAGCTACAGAAAGCTAATCAATTCCAATTTTGGTTGCGGTACGCATCCTACTGCCATTCCGAATCGTAGTGAAATATTGAGTGCGACATTGCCTGTATGACTAGCGGAAGCCAAGCCATTTACAAGTCAGTGTCAGCGCTGGAGGGTAGAAAGCCCAATTGCTTTGGGCAGGAGCTGGCCCAGGATTTGACATCTGGACCGCGATCAAATCCTGAATCGGCTTCCGCCCAGGCCAACCGAGGCTACTGCCTTCGAGGAGCGGTGAATTGGTACTAGATTTCTCTGACAAGGGAACCCCAACAGGTCGATCCGGCCATTTGCAATGAGATGTACATATATGGACGTGTCTTGAGCCGCTGAATTTCAAATCTGCCCTCCTTTTTTGCGGAACGATTCTCTGAAGAGAGTTACGGACCATTTAATCTTTGCTCTGTTGTACAAGTTGAGAAGGATAGTTCGTACATAGCTTTAAACGGTGAGAAGAAGTACACGTCTGAAGGTAGAATCAAAGACGTAGCAGCACTGGTGGAATATTGCGTAGTTTCACACATTTATTGGGTGGCAGAACAGATTCATGATCTTTAGAGGAACCCCACGCGCCGACTATGAGAAACGCCAACTGGGGGGACCCTGGAGCGGCCAGCTCACATAAATTTAAAAATTTCTTATCTATTCTTGGTACTCGACTGGATACTTCGATGTACATCCTGGTGAGTTCGAAACACCTCTTCAGTACTGCTTCCCCTCCGGATTTTTGGAGAACTGTAATGTACCGTGCAGAGTACTTTTCATTTGCTCCGCTCATTTTAAGAACTCGTATTGTTTCTATCATTTTGTGGAAGTATACCACATGTGCTCTTATACCGTAAAATCTCCATTCCTCTATGCGAGCTCTAGAAACGGTCATCCACATAATAAAAGTTTTCGGAAGGAACCACAAATGGAGCAATGGCCGCTCCTATTGTCAAATAATCAGAGATTAGGTGAATTGGCCAAACAGAAGTGTTCTGGGGACTGATATGAAGTGCTTTGAACAAAAGCAAAAATATTTCAAGAGTCAAGGATTCCAACATGCGACCTCGTGTCTCTGAAGCACTGCGCTTCTCCACTAGGCCATCGCCGCTTGCTGCAGCAACTATCCTTCTCAACTTGTACAACAGAGCAAAGGTTAAATGGTCCGTAACTCTCTTCAGAGAATCGTTCCGCAAAAAAGGAGGGCAGATTTGATTCAGCGGCTCAAGACACGTCCATGTATGTACATCTCATTGCAAATGGCCGGATCGACCTGTTGGGGTTCCCTTGTGAGAGGATAAGAACATTGACTTTTACATCGCCCCGCAAGTCGTTTCATAGGCCGCATCGCATTCAATACGCCGCTGGGCTTCTGAATAAAAGTAAAACGCTTGCCACATCCTGAATGAGACTGACCTACAGCGGAGACTATCCTTTATCCTTTACGGGGGAGCACAAGATGTGTTAATTTTAATAGAACCCCTGTGTGATGAAAGGTCAGTATTCTCTTCCCGATTCTGAAGAATCCTCTGGGATAATCACAGCACGTCCTATGTTGGTGAATCCCCAGCGGGGGAGCGAGGTGTCGTATTTGATCTGAGAATATTTGTTATAGTTGATTTATCGTTGAGAGAATCGCATTGGGGGAAAGGGTGGGGGGAAGAGTTATTTGCTCGTCGTTGTTAGAGGCTCTCCCCCCCCCCAGAAAAGATGAATTTTTGAGGCATTTCGGTAGTGAAAATTTTAGGAAGTTTGGAAAAGTCAGCAAGAGAGGCAAGATAGTAGGTAAAATGGGGAGGGTGGGGGGGGGTCGTATTTTCCGGAAATTTTCCCCAACGACAGAACGCGCCCTGAGTGAAATACCTTCATTCACACGTGAACAGTTTTAGTTCGCTACTGTGTCGGTTGCCATAGAAAGGAATGACGCGCTTTTGGGTGTTTTGCAATTTTTCTAGCTCAGCGACAAATACTTTCCAATAAGTCAGATCTGAATATAAACGGATTTTTGATGTGGAGCAAGCGAAAATGCTTGACATTGTGTGATAGTGGTGCTTATAGGGAATGTTGCCAAGTAAGCAAAAGTCTTTTCGTACCGATCTGTCACCGGACGATGTCAAACTTGTCAACGGTATGCTGTTTTTCCGTTTTGTTTCTAATCTTGAATGGCCAAATCGGACAGGCTTCCCTTGAAAGGGGGGCTGGGCTTTTTTGATACCTTCCTAGGCCTTTTTTTTGGCTGGAAAAACAGCTTAAAAACAGGCTTTCTTTTTTTCACTTCGGGACCAATAAATTTTTTCTCCCTTTGGGGTTTTCATTTCCACACCTTTACAACATGGGAGAAAAACCTCGGGCTTTTGGAAACCGTTTGGGCGGAAACCTTATTCCTCTAGTTCGTAATCGCGTATCCTCCATTCCATACCTGATCCCGCTAGAAGTTTGAAAGGCTGTTCATTTGACGTTCTTATAGGGGAGCGCATGGTTCGTCTCCAGTCACCAGTTTGACTCAGTTCCTTCAGATCTGGGCGCACAAGGAGTTAGCAGAGACAAATATGTATTGCTCGTTTACAATTTCTTTTTACAGGGGGTCCTTATGTTTTCAAAGGAATGAGGACCACAGGAGATGGAGGGACACTTAGGCCACAGTAGTCAAAGTGATCAGTGCTTTACGGTCATAGAGAATAACAAGCGAACGACGACGACATTGACTTGCTTTTTCTTCTAGGATGGTTTGTGGGGTTTCTTCGTGTAATAGTGAAACTGCTTTCTTACTTGTTTCAGTTCAACAAACCGCCCTGATAAAGTCGCTAGCTATCTACTACCCCCTTCATTCGCTTGTCAGTCTACATAAGCTTTCATAATTTCAAAGTGTTAGACGTCCTCCAAAAATCAAGGGCTTCAACTCTAGGCGGTCTTCAATGGAATTTCACTCTCGAGATACTGCCTGAAATGGTGATGCTTGACTATGTAAGCGGAATGACCATTCGCGGCGAAGTCCCTTGAGAACTTGTGCCGAATTTACGCTAACGTCCAGATGTGGGAGACTAAGGGTAAAAGGGTAGCAGACTACTGGATTAAGCATCTTGAGATTACACAGTGTGTGCAACCGCATCGTATACCCTTCTAATGCTACCTGAGAAATTTTAACGCATTGACGACCGCGCGCGTTTTTACTTTTTCGGCCTCGTGGGACACGCGCGCTTTCTCGAACGCCACAAGCGCGGTACGCATACAATTCACGCGGTCCCACGAGGCGCTTTTTTTGGAGATTGGATCGGAAAACCTGGTTGAGAGAGCAATTATGAAGTAAGTCAATCATTCACTATGGAAAAAACTAGGCTGGCCAACTCTCGTTGCACTAGGTGCCAGAAATTTGTCTGTAACCAATGTTTTCATAAAAAACACAAGTCGTGCCTTCTACAGGACTCAGAATCCTTCATCTTATATTTTTAATCATTATCAATATGGTATTTATCTGCATTTGTTAGTAAAGTGTTGAAGAGCAAACCAATCCAGAGTTGAGGAGCAAACCAGTCCAAGCAAATGGTGTTCTTTCCCCAAGAAGTCTTTGCTAAACTAGTGTGTATTATTCCATAGACTACGCATTTACAAATATACTAAGGACAGAACTATAGAATGAAGAGGAGAAACTAAACAAAAAACCATGCACTAGTGAAAGATATGGATTTGTTGATCGTGATTCGTATTCAATGCACGCGGTCCACAAAGCGTGCATTCAGTGCGTATCACGCGATCGTCAATGTGTTAATCGCATTCTGCGCTTCAGCTTGCACGATGTTTTTGTCCACGCCGCCAATTTCACGACGCCTGTTGCCAGCAGTCTGTTACCCTCCCACTTCTCCATGCTCTCTGCTACTGGACGCAGCCGTACGCGCAGAACCCTGACGCGAATTATGAACGCGGCTTGCATATGGAGCGTT